TGTTAACAATTGAACTTTATTGGAGATATTTACATCTGCATTTAACCCATCCCCTTAGGCAACAGTGGGCTGCCATCATGGGGCGCCCGGGGAGCAGTGTGGGGCTAAGGGTCTTGCTCAGGGAGCCAGAGTGGCATGCTGTGGGAGTGGGGCTTGAACTCAGAACCTCCGAGGCCAAGCTCTATGCCCTAACCACTAGGCCGCCACTCCCCTCAATTAGTGCTAGTAGGATACTTTCTGACTTTTATCTTGTTTTTCTTTTTTGGTGAGGGAATTTAAAACAGAGTCCCTATAACACTTTTATCGTAATAAAAAAGAATTAAAATAAAAATGCATTATTAAAGCTATACTCATAGAAAAATGTTGGACAAGCTTCTTTAATCCTATGAGGATTTTTTTCTTTTTAGTTTTTCATGAAAAGTAAAAGCTTCGGATGCCATGCTTTCTGCATCGGGTGTTCTTGGTGTTATTGGCGGGGATTTGCTGGTTTGTCTGTTGATCAGAACACAAGTCGACTTCTCAGTTTTCTGTTGCGGCAGAATCTGTTCCTCAGTCCTTAAAATAACAAATAACAAAATAACAAAAAACATGCTTTGTTTAAAAGACTTTTATTAAAACAAAACCTAATATTTCAAAGGACTCATTAGATGGAGTAATGTTATGTGTTTACTAGGGCTGAAACAATTAATCGTGATTAATCAAATATTAAAATAATCGTCAACTAATTTAGTAATTAATTGTCAACTAGAGTATGTGGAACGTGGAAAAGTTTGAGTAGTGGCAGCAATTTTCATCTGGTTTAATTTCATAAAAAAGTCTTCTTTAAAGAATTCAATAATTCAAAAAAAATAATTGACTGATTAATCGATTTGCAAATTAATGGTTAGTTGCAGCCCTAGTGTTAACAAATATCAGAAGCAAGTGAAAAATATGAATATGTAAACACTTTTATATCTGTGTCGCTGATAAAAAATATTAATTGAGCAACTTACTGAATATTATTGGTTTGTTCTTCGGGTTTTTGTTCCATTGGAAGCTTCCTGTGTGAAACATGGAGGATTTAGGAAGCAGGACAAAACAAACCCACATTTGGTAAAACCTTTAAACCGTCTGATAGTAGTACCTGTTCTGCTTCTTCCTTCTACGGAGGAACATGGAGAATAAAGCCGCTAAAGCTCCACACAAAAAAACTGCAAAAATGAAACTCCATCCTAGGGAGAAAAAAGTAAAATATGTTGGAGACAAGACTGAATGAAAAAATGCTACAAAGCCTGGACATGGACTTACGTTTAACGTCATAATAAGAGTCAGAGTCTTCATCCAAACCTATAAAAAAATAAAATAACAGAACCACTCAGTAAACATCAGTCTATGCTTTATATTCCTTAGAATTTTTACAAATTAAAAAAGTTAGTTTATTATATGGTGATCATATATGACTGACAAACTCAAAGTCTATCATTTATAAAGTGGTAGGACAAATAAAATCCTACGTTAGATGAGCATACATATTCAGATCATCTGAAAATCAAACATTGCCGCAGATCTTCAGTTCACTTTAGCTCAGTGCTTTGACTAGGCCATTCTGACACAGAAATCCTCTGGAAACTTCTACTCCAGTCTAAAGTATTTTGCAGCAAAATCCTTCTAGGATTGTCTTGAATTTAAGTTCATCCCTTCTTCCATCAACTGTGGATGTTAAAATTCTTCTCCACAGTATGATGCTTCCACCACCATGTCTTACCACTTGGTAACCTCCAGTGTTAGCTTGCCTCTTCACACAGGATGCTGCATGTATACTAAACCATCTCCACTGTAGTCTCATCTTACCAGAACATTCTCCCAAAGGTTTGCTTACATGGTCTGTAGGAAAAACTTGTAATTCTGCATCTTCAATTTGTTTTCTTCCTCTAAGCCCAGATTTGTTAAGTGATGATCCATCACATGAAAACCAGGGTACATTACCTTAAGTGATTTACCTAATTCCTTAGTAAGGCACTGGCAGTAAATGACTAAATACTTATCCTAATAACTTTGAAACAGTTCCTCACCATCATCAGATGTTCCTTTAAATCCAGGAACGGTGATCAGCTTCTCTCTGGGAGCAGCAGAGAGCACTGACACTGAACATCCAACCTGTGTGCTGCTGGAAGCTGACAGCAGAGCTGTGGTGGTGACGGTGACTGTACCGTTGCTGTGGGTCACACTGCTGCTGTTGTAGTGGGAGAAGCTGAGGTTCTGCTGTAGAACAGTCAGTGTTACAGTGGGAGCAGGTCGACCTGTGGCTGAACAGGACACAACTGACTCTGCAGGAGACTTTGATCTCCTCACATCAAGGATAGGTTCATGCAGCTCTGAGAGGAGAAAAAAACATCTGTGATATCGAAAGATGATTATTCATCTCCTTCAGGTGCTCCACAGCATGTCTCCTTTCCTCACCATAGAGTCTGAGGCAGGTCCTGCCTATCAGGGCTCCTCTAGGATAGGTGTTAAACAGACATTGGTAGCAGCCTTCATCCTCCTCCATCACCTTCCTGATCACCATGGAGCAGCTCTGAAGATCTTTACACTGAAAATCCATCTTCTCTGCCAGTTCAACTTTCACTCTGTAACCATATTTCTTGGTGTAGGTGGCCAGATTCTTCTGTCCATCTCGGAGGAGTTTCTGCCAGGTGACTTGGAGGACGTCTTTATCCTCAGTGAGCTGACAGCTTAGAGAGGCTTGATCACCTACTGCTGCCCACACAGTCTCCTCTGTTTCTATTAGAGCCAAGTGAGCTAAAACAAAAATTTTCAGACTCTAAATGCTATTAAAACAGCATAAAGCAACAATCTTTTCAATGAGCATAAAGATCTCAATAGGTTCAGCTTTCATCACACATCTATTGACTGGATATATGAGGAATACTTCTTCTTAAAGCTAGTTTGATGTTTAGTTTATTTATTTTTTCCTCTTTGGTGTTGCTTTATTTTCTGTTTTCTACCTATATTTTTTCCGCTTTGTTTTTCTTCCCTATCATCTCATGAAGGCGTAGAAGCAGACTTCTAGATGTCACTGTATATCTCCTGTGTTCGTTTATTATGCTGTTTTGTTTTTTCTCTTTTCCATCTCTTTTTCTCTCTCCTCCATTTTTATCCCCTCTCATTTTCCATCGTTGTGTGCTTTACATTCTATTGTATTCACTAAATGCTTTTTAATAAAGTTTCATATATAAGTACAGACAGGAACCTTTATGGCAACAACCATAATGGTCTGCTCATGAAAGCAAATCTGTTGGGTTATTATCTAGGTCTTTGGCATTGATTCTTGGAGTCATAATGTCAAAGGAGCCCACGGAAAAACAAAATAAAAGACTTAAAACTGTGGTTTCTATTTTAATCAGTCAAACTGGATAAAACTTCTGATACATCAAATTTAATCAGTTTTTCAAATCAAGTTATTTTTATTAATGATTGCAGTGTTGTTCATTTCTCAGATGTGTTTTTACCCTTTACAGAAACTGTAAAGACTTTAGTTATTTTGCAAATAGTGATTTTATCTGTATGCTTTAATAGCAAATTTCCTACAACACACCTGTCCTGCCCACAGTGACAGTAGAGCCAGGATTTTTCTGTTCCATTTTCATAATATTTACTCATATTCTTTGCTTCCAAATTAGCTAAAGCTTCGTCATACTGGATGGAGAGCAACTATAGATTTGGATTTTCAAGCTTTGCCACTCATTCTTAATGGACTTATCTCTAGAATGTCACTGGGCCATTCTGATACATACGTTGATTTTATATTAAACCACTCAATTGTAGCTGGGGCTGCAGGTTTATTGTTGTTATCCTGCTGGAAGTTGAACCTCCACCGCAGCCCTGCTAAAAAAAGAGGAAAAAGCATACCCACAGCATCCTGCTGCCGCCACTATGTTTCACCTGGGGGACCTGCATTACATGCAGGTTTTTAAAAATCCGCATCATATGCTTTTTGAAAAGTTAGGTTTTAGTTTAATCTGCCTGGATGTCATTCATCCAGAACCATGTCTCTGTGGTTTTGCACCTGTCTCACTTTTCAGATTATCGATTGAACAAAGCTTAGATTATTGTTGTCTATTGTTGTTGTCTTTGGCCCTAAAGATTAGATTTTTCCCTAGCAAACAAATACAAATGAGGACCCTATTTAGTTAATTAATTAAGAAGTAAGAATTTTTACAATCATATGAACCTTTTGCTTTGGAACAACCCACAAGATCCCAGTTCTGTATATAGAGAAAAGTTTCACTTTCAGCAAATATAAAAACATTTCCTGTTCGAGCTTAATGTTTCCCTTTAGACAGCTCTTTCTCAGCAACTGTATTGCTAAGATTAATGCATTTAAGGGATGTCTACTACAACAAACTAAATGATTAATAAAGTCATTTAATCAGATGGATCTTTCTCTCATTTATATACAGTAAAAGATCTGGGTTTTTATCTAAGGAAGGACAGCATGTGCTTATTTCAAAGTTTTGCTTTAATGTCTTTGATTGAAGATTAACTGACTTAAGTGGTTATATAAAAAAATAAATAAATATTAAGCTATCTAGGTGTAAACAATGACTTTCTTACAAAATCGTTTCTAATCATTCACTAGTATGCAAATATAACCTAAAACTAGTAAAAGTAGAAGATGGATGCTTACAAAACAAGCAAAGGAAATCAGCTCTCACCTGTCTGAAGGACTGTGTTTACTAAAAGATAGATGATCATTATTGCAGGTCGCTGTTGACGCAACTTTGAAACCCAAACACACTTCCTGCTCTGTCAGAGGGATTAGAGTCACTAGGTGGAACCAAAACCCCAGCCAAAAACTCTGCAGACAGAGTGAAGGGTTAGTACAATTCAAATGATCTTTTATGCAACTTTTGTTTTTGAGATATTCAATTTTATCGTATCACAAAACCAAATGGTGGAATTTAAGAAAAAAATCAGACTGCAACAAAATAAAAACTTGTAGTTTGTTATTGATTGCACTATAGTTTAGTTATAGTTAATGTACAGTATAAGGAGGTTTGAGCTCATGGATAAAAAGGCTAAATGAAAAAATAACAGCTTTCTTTGTATCTCAGGTAGATGATGGTTGAAAGACCACAAAATAACACCATGGTTATCAAAACACAACTCACTCTGCAAATAAGAGTAATAGCTCTAAGCATCACCTATGTGTTAAGAAGACTCAGTCATCACCTGCAGCAGGTGGTCATAATCTGGCCATTAAAAACATCTAATCATAAATAAAATACATTCTTGTGTTTTAATTATCAAATCTTCATTAAACGCTAATCCACCATAACATTTTAAGGACCAAAGTAGAATGAAGCTTGTAAAAGTATAAGCAAATGATTTCTTTGGTTAATAAAAACAAATCAGTTCTTGTCTCTAGATAAATACTCTTGTCATGGTCACAGGAACAGTTTAGGAGCTTTAATAATAGCGAGACAGACGGAAACATCCTAATACATCAGGCAAATCCCTTTTTTCCCTTAAATTTAGAATAAGTGTTTTTGTTATCAGCCACAGTTTTCAAAGACCCATTAATAGTCTCTTTGATTATGACATGCAGCTGAAACAAAACAGCCTTAAACTACAAAATGAATCTCTGCTTATAACAATTTGAGTCATAAACTTCCCTGATTAAACACATCCTAACTTTATACTGAGAAATTTCACTTTCCTTTCTTAAGATTACTACTAAACAAAACATTTAAAGATATTTTATATAGGATTTAATTATAGAAAATCTGATCAAACCGGAAACTGAAATCTTGTGAATTTCGTCTCCAAATTACTTATAAAAAAAAACATATAATATATATATTTATTTTTAAGGTATTTGATTTACTTTTACAAGACATTTCTAAAGTATTGAAACTCCTGTCGCATTTTCAAACCACAACCAGTTTGTGTACTTTATTAGTATTTTTATTTGAAAGACCAATTTGAAGTAGTACTTAACTTTGAAGTGGATCGAAATGAATAGGTAGTTTAAAAATATTTTTAAAAATATAAAATCTGAAAAGTGTCTATTAGTGAAAGGTATTTTTGGTGTGCTGAAGCACGACTGTAAAATTAAAGAAAAGCTCCACACGATTTTCAACATCTTTGTTGAATCATCATGAGTATTTGTTAGAAGTTGTAAAACATAGTTTCCCTTTCAGTACATGATTATTTACTAGTTCCTGTCGGTTTATCATCTAAAAAACCCCAAAACCCAGTATAGATTGTGATTCTGACATGATAAAATGTGAAAAAGTTTAGACGTCATGAAATATTGTGACAGCCAGTTTATTTAAAACAAAACGTACAGTGACAAAAGAAATAAAGATTCATAAAAATAAATCATAAAAAATATGATTTCTGGTCCTCCAATAGAGTCTGTCACTCATGAATTTAAGTCTTCATGCAACAGTTTTGTTTTAATCTCCACATCTGGTTAAAATACAATGCAGCAAAAATAGATTTGGTAGATTTTACTAAACCCATTGAAAAGCTTCTATGAGAATAAATTCTATATTTCAGTCATTATTAGCACAGTAAACAGAACAGTTTAATTTCGGCAGATGAGGTCACCATCCCAGCAGACGTTAGCGCTACGCTTGTTTCCTGATATACTGTTATTGCGTAACTTCACGTTATTCCTTTGCTAGTGTTGAATATAACAGTGGGCATGTTTACCTTATTTAGTGGCTTGAATGACAAGGAAGGGACAACGGTACTTGACATTGCAGCAAACAATAAAGTGGTCATCGTCCTTTGTAACAGAGGATTGGTGGAAACAGCAAAGTGACTCAATGAAGGTAAAGGAAAGCTTTGCGTTTACACCTTTCAGCATTCTCTCTCTGGTTCTTTTCTCAAGAAGAGATAACTTGGGACAAACTCTTTAAATAACAATTCATAATCTATACGTATCAAATAACCATGATGACAACAGGATTTGACATAAATTGTAATGTTACTCAGACCAGAGAATTTGCTAAGCGTTACAGATCGCAGCGCTTCTGAAAGGGGCACACATCTGGTTAAAAACACATCCTCAGACATAACTCTAGAGACAGCATGAGGCTGTTTGCCTTCAGTATCAATCTTTTTTTTTTCTTTTTTTTTCACAGCTTGAGCTTTTCATGAAACCTACAGTTTGGGAGTCTGCTATAGATTTATTATCTGATTTATTTAATGTTATAGCTTCAACATTTTGTGTCACACTAGCCTTGTAGGCACTTTCTATTGACTTCAGTTCATTTCCCACTAACTTATATTGCCTAATCCAGACCCTTACCCTAACTATTACCAACACCTACCTAACCCTAAACTAAACTCAATTCAACTTTAGTTCTAAACCTCACCCCCACCACAGTGTCTACATGCACTGTGGGAAGCTTACCATTGTGCATTTCACAAATAAATATTTTAAAAAGATTTTGTTTTTTTCAATCTTTTAAGTCTATCTTTATATGGAAAGCCTTCAAAATCAGGTGGTGATGACGCTTCTGGTGTTGAAATTTGCTTTATGGGTTTTCTCTGGTTACATGTCTTCTCTTCAGTGTTTCTTTGCAGCAGAGGATATTCTTCATTCCTTAAAAGAAAAAAGTGCTTTGAAATGAAAAATCCTCAAAATTTCATCAATGAAGTGAATGTGATATTTCCTGAACTATCAATGAAAATATCAATAAGTACAGAAAAAAGGAGAATAGGTAACTTTTAGTAATGATAAATGTTCAAAATAGAGACTTACTGAGTAATTCTTCTTTGGGTTCCATTTTTTTCCACATTTTGAAGCCTTCTGTGTGTCACACGCAGGGTTTAAGAACAACAACAACAATATAGCCAAAACCAATAGACTCTCTGATAGTAGTACCTGTTCTGTTTTGTTCTTCTGTGCCAGGAAATTGGTAAAAAAGTCACGAAGCAGAACACCACAACAATCAAACACCCTCCTTTAGAGAAAGAGCAAAGATGTTAAAGATATGGATGAATACATATATCACAAAGCCAAGACATTAACTTACCGATAGCTTTGTAATAAGGTCCAGAGCCTTTGTCCAAACCTGTCCAAAGATTAAATGACAGAACCACTTAGTTCCAGCTTTGTAGTTTTCTACATTTTCTTCAAATTCAACCACAACCTTAAATTAATTTATTTGAGATTTTAGGTGATATAACAACTCGTAGTTGTTATAGCACCTGATTTCTGGTCCTCCTATTGGAGGACCAGAAATCATGTTTTTTATATATATATATATATATACTGTAGATATGAATCTTTGTTTCTTTTGTCACTATGCTGTTATGGTTCTTCCCATTTGTTGTGATTCTGAGTTTTCAGTTTTCTGTTATCAGTTGTTTTTATTTTCCATGATATTCTAGCATTCTTTAGTTACTCTCTGTTGCCCCCTTGTGATTGTTTTCTTTCCCCTTGGATTCCCTCTTGCCAGTTCCACCCACACCTGCTCCTCATTCAGCTCGTTAGTCCATCCTTTGTTTTGTTCTCCTTAAATACTCCACCTCTGCAATCACTCAGTGCTGGTTCCTTCTCATTGCTTTTTTTGTCTACTCAGCTCGTCTCTCCCCGGCTCCTCAGGCTCGTTTTCCCCTGATGTCTCCATGGTTTTGGTTCGTTTAATATTTTAAGTTGGATTTGTGGATTTCTGCCTCTGCTACCTATGGTCTGCAATTAAACCTCTCAGAACTCATCTCTGCTTTACAGGTCTCTGCATCTGGGTCCACGAGCAACTTCACCACCCATTGTTGACATATGCGCTTTGTTTTAAATAAACTGGCTGATTGTCAAAATATTTCGTGACGTCTAAACTTTTTCACATTTTATCATGTCAGAATCACAATCTATAATGAAAACAAGGATGATGAGCGCGCGCATCATCCTTTTTTCATCTGGCTCCCTGTCTTCTTTAGCCTCTATTCCAACAGCAGTGATAGGTCTCAGGGGAAGAAAACGTAGCTATTCGCATTTATATGCTAACGTATAATAGTTATCTTTGCTTAAAGACTACAACTGGGGCCTATGCACCAACATCTTTATTTCTCAGGCCAATAAAACTTCCTATAGTTGCCCTACTTCTGTGTGAGTCTTTCTAAGCTGTATTAATCCATCACATAAAATCCCCATTTCAGTTTCTCTTTGTCAGAGGCGTAGCCAGAAAGTTTCTA